CAGTTTTTTCAAAGGAAAATCCACTCTTAATTGCGGTTTCATTTCAAAGTTGAAAGTGCAACAAAACAAAATGGCGCACATGTGCGAAGAAAATAACAGTGTTTTAATTCAGAGTTTGAGAGAGAGAATGCTAAAAGAAAAACACCCAACAAAGGAAAAACAATTGGGTAAAAGTCTAGCTTCCAACTGCAACTTTTGTTTCCAAAACTCTTATTCCCCTCCCCCCCCCACCCCCAAAAATAATGGATGAATTTAATTCCAAACCGGCTCAGTACTGCATCAGTAAAATATTTGAACTGACCAAGTCCTGTATTAAGGCGATTTCAAAATGGATGTAAGAAAGTGGTAATTGAACCTCGTGTCCTGCAATTTTGGTCTGAAATCATACTTGTGATTTCAAATCATGCATATGATTTCAACCCAAATTGCACTCCGCTCAGTTCAATTACCATTATAAATTGTACTTGAAATTAAAAATTCATCATAATGAGCCGTCTAAATTGCCAAGGAGTTTTGCTCAAAGTTGGTTTCGCGATCAGTCATAGGCCACTTTGCTTTTTAAGTCACTATTAAGTGACAGGCAATTAAATCACTTACGTGTCTCTGCTCAAGTGAACAATGACTGCTTACGACTTTATTGAACTTTCTCCAATTCCTACCTGCGCATGCGCTTGTGATCCTAGCAGCGTAAATACACGGGAGTATGAAAACGTAGAAGAAACAAACGAAGAATTGGCAGGTGTAGACTTTGAACGCAGTGGACACACTATTTTTGTCTCCCGAGAGTTCCTCAGATGTTACTATAAAGTAAACAACAATGCCAGCTCCGTATGTTAACCAATGCAACACAAACCATACTTTGTAGGCTGACACTGTGTTTAGGACAACTGTACACAAGTCCTCATGAATTCTAATGATGTCATCGAGAGTTCCATTCTCGACGTTCCGGATGAGTCTGAAAGTGTCTTTTGCTATTGTGCCTGAGGTAAAAAAAGAAAAAAAAGGTTTAGTAGATGTTGGTTTACGTTATTCTTTGTGTCTGCAAGGAACAGTTTTTTAAGGAAGTTTAAGAAATATTAAGGTCTTTAAACGAACCAGAATCGCTAAAACTGTGTTCGATGTCTTTGCTATCTTGATGGCTCTATCTTATTTCTAGGGGTGAAAAACGCGTAAGGAAGTAATTCGATAAGTTTTGGCAAAACGCGAAGTCTTCAATCGAGGAAATATGCATCATCATTCTTACCTAGAGAGGAAGAACTGACGGCAAAGGCGTGACAGGTGTTTACTGAAGCCCAGTGAGCCAATATTACTGACATTGGGGCCATTAAGGTGTATACAATGCACAATTTGCCTGGACAAGCATTGTTAATGTTATATAACTTCAAATAAAGAAAAAGTGTCAGCCCGATAAAAAGCGAGGAAAGAAATCCAACGAATCCAATAAACAGCCACAGTACCGCCGTTTTGTCACAATCTTCGATCATTGATCGTGAAGGTGACACCAAAGCAGACTCTGTACCCCTGAATGTCGTCACACTTGTTATGAAAACGACATATGAAAGGAGTGCTGCAAAAGAAAACAGTGAATAGCACACCCTTCGAGTTCCTGGAAAGACCTTCAGTACTGTGAGGTTGGAGTGCTTTTCATTGAAGTTGCAGTCGAAGTAGGGACAGTTCAGGTCAAAAGAGATTTGCAAGGATACTTGAACAGCACAAATTACAACAAATAGAAGACGAGGGATGTAGTTCCACGACCGATGGCTCCACAAACCAAGCGAACAGAAGATAGCTTTGAAAATCATCAGAATGATTCGAGTGGATGTACTAACCAGCTGTGGTTCTCTTCCCCACCGAAAATACAGATACGTTTGCCCTCGTCGAACAGCCGGCCTCATTGTTTCAATGTTTTGATCATCAGGAACCCTTGGCACAAGATGCTCTTGCTCCGCCATTATTGATCGCAAGCTATTGATTACATCGACTACTAGCACAGACTGCGTGAATTATATCCGAAAGTTATTCTGATCGTGACTTTCAGGCTAGATTTTGTCACCTGATAATTGTATTAAGCTGGTGTCACCGATCTATGATGTGATTTCAGTTTCCATAACCTCTGATCCTCTTTCGAAGTAACGCAAATTTTCTCGCAGAGTTAATGTTCACGCTTTTGAAGTAACGCTGGCATTGCCGAACCTGAAAGATCTTTTTCGCACATTGCAGGATAAGAAACTTCAGTGACTCTTGAACCTAAATAATTATACCATATAATGCCAAAGTTTTGAGTTCGAATGCTGTGCTGACACCTCAGTAACCAAATGACTGAAAAGGTACATACCTGATATATACAAACATCTCAAACTGAGAGCTAACCCTTCAAACGAGACACAGCATTTCTACTATTAAAGTGTTAATTTCAGTCTTGAAAAGAAGCTGAAGAGCAAGGACGCGAGGGGCTTAGTATACCATACGGAAGAGAATACCCAGAGTGTTAAATTTAAAAAAAAAAATAGAGAGAGAGACGTGATCCATGAAGATTTCTGAGTTTTGATATGAACAGCTAGTAATAAAAACAAAAAGAATATTAAGGCGATAAATTTCAAATAAAGAAGCACGAAACAAGAAAACAAAAGGAATTCAAATGTCTATCAAAGTTAATAGTAACACGGATTACATATCGGCAATTGCTAAACCACAGGATTCCGAACTCATAAAGCAGTCACTACAGATGCACAAGGATACAGACCCTTCCTAATGAAATAGGTCTGAAAGAAAGCTAGTATCACGTGGTAAAAGGTTCAACTGAATTTCTCGTTGAGGATTTTCGGACAGTTGTTTTTCTTTTTGTATCAAATAACAGCATTGCGTTACTTGAGTGCATTTTGAATCTAATTATCACATCTCTTGAAGTTTCTCGGAAAAACCTTTCTTCCGGTGCGTTAGAGTATAGCTAGAAACCGAAAGGAAAGGAAGTAAACAAGATTTATTTTGATCAATTAAAGTTCTTTCAAAGTATTTTTTTAACTTCTTATGAAAAAAAATCATTTTTCTTGTTGTTTTAAAATGGTCAACAACCCGATCGATGCCGAAAGAGAACCACAAGATCAGGAAGGAAAACGTCTGCCTCTTCTTCCATGAATGAACATATTTGGGCTTCCAGTCACATAGACATCCGCAAGATGTCAATGGATGCTATCGATTTCTGTTGAAAATTGTCAAAATCACCTTCTGTACACTTGGATCATGGACTCACCAGGTTTTGAACTACATTCTACCAGTACTAGTCTATCTAATCTGTATTTATCAAGCTGTTTACGATTTCTATGTCGTGTTAAGTTGCCACGGTTTTGGTTGCAGTTTCTCACAAAATTCAACGGATTTAAGAAGCCCCTTCATCACAAGTATCATAATCGTGTTGCAAATGCTGTTTATTTTTATAGTTTCATCCGCAGTTTCATCGTAACAAAGGACAAAAACTCAGTTATGGTCGCACCGTCTTGATCCGCATCGATGGAAGACCTTAGCACAACGGCCGGCTGATGGTTGTGTCTTATTTTCGCTTTAATGACAATGTTGTATCTTAGCTCGATGGCTGTGTTTCACACCATCGTATGGATAAGTAAGCCAAGGTTTCCTATTTCACCACTCTTGCCACTGGACTAGAAGCCCAGTTTTTCGCGCAGTGCACAGCAATAACAACTTGTTACGAGTTCGTCATGAGTTCCTTTGCGTTAGGTAAGTTGCATACTTCAAATGCTGATAACAAAATGATCATTGTGTTTTCATTTTTCCTTTGTTCTCAGCGTTCAAAACCCTTTTTTTTTTTCCATCCTTTCTCTGCGAATTATCTATGTTACCAAAGTCATTATGGCAGTAGTTATGACCATCACAAGTTTTATAAGCATTGACACTACCGTGACGATCAGAAGCACTGATGTAACGAAAGGACAATAGAACAGGATTTATAACAATTTTTTTGACATTTTCAATGCACTAGAGTTTTGCTAAAATGTATGATCGATAGTTAAATCAGTTTGATCTTGTTTGAGTGGTGTATTTCTTCAAGCCATTGGATCATCTTTAAGTATCTACAAGGCATACATTTCACAGGCATTCTTAGAATAATCTGGAATCTGACGACAACTCATTTGGGACAGGCAATCTCTAAACAAATTTGGCAAATCCTAAAATTGGCAACGTCTTGTTTAAATACCTGACGAACAATGGAAAAAAATAGCATGTAATCAATCTCATTATTTCTCTATTTAACCTTCATCTTTTTCTGTCAGTAAGGGTGTCTGTTTTTTCTGTTTTGTTTCATTCTACCTTATTCATTGTTATAAAATATCATTATAAAGTATCATATTATATTATAATAATTATCATTATTATTATTATTATTATTATTATTACAGATTTTCTGGTGTGAACGTATTTTTGTTACATTTTTCACTTTAGATACTTTACATAAGTATTATCTTAGACTGAATTGCACTCAGTCTTGTAGCATAGAAAGTGTTTTCATGAGCACTGAAGAAAACTTTCTTCACTGTACTATGAGGGAAATAAAAATTTTCAAAAAGTCACGGAAGTTGCAATTACTCAACCTCCCTTAATAAGAGCAAGGAAGAAACTGCTTTAAGTTTTAAAATGTGTAAATCATTCTTTCAAAGACCATAAAATGGAATGGGTATGTAAATTAATTCAAATGGTTCATCATTTCCGACTATTTTTGTGCAAAATTATCCCTGAAATTTCCTGGACTTCAATATTTTCTTTCCTAGAGTGATCCTGATTTTTTTTAGTCTATAATCTAGTTTATTTATGATCCTTAGAACATCTCTATTATGTGTCCTGCTTACAAAGGCTTCATGGTCAAGTTTTGGACACAGCTCTTATGGAAACGGGTGATGAGTCAGAGACAGACATTCCATTTGACAACATTATTGTCTTGTAAGTTCTCTTCAATTACAATCCCTCCTCTTTGATTCTGACTAGCAGATTTTACCACAGTTTTCAGATATTTATCCTGACCCTGTCTTCAAAATTAAGCTGTCTGACTACCTGCCAGAGTTTGAACAAATGAGTTGTTTGTCACAGTTGTTTGTCATAGATTACGACTCAGCATACTGAGTGGGCCATGACTCACATGTACATTGCACTGAACTTGTCAACTTTTACCTCTTCGCTTCTCCAAACCAAAGTCTCACAATTTAGGAAGACAAGAATCTTTATATTCTCATGGAGGAATATTTTCATTACATGCAGTCATCTTGATGCATTGCAATATCTCTATTTTACTTCTTAAAGATGAATGTTGTACAGTAAAATTTGATCACCCTCCACTTTATTTAGTGTTTAATTCACCTTTTTTATGGTGGTGGTCTACCTGTTCCTTGAGTTATGTGTAATGATGGTATCAGATTAAAACCACAGTCTGATTTATAAATTTTTTTATCTAATCTTAGTGAAAATGTGAGCTATGACCTCAAGCTAGGTATAGAGGTAAGCAAACAGAGCTTCGGGAGTGAAAAGGCCATTACAAGGAACTTTAGCGGGCCACGAAGTTCTCAAATTTATACTTGCGGAACATACACAATTGACAGTGGATCACCTTCATCAGAGGATCAAATCACATGACCTCAAAACAGGTACAGTGTATATTTAGTATGGTTAGCAATATTGTCGGGCTATCATTTTGTTTTGTAAGAAACTTTGGCAGTAGTAGTGGCTTTGTAACACATCTCTGGCCTGGACGGCACCTCCGTAAATCAATGAAAATTGGGCTGTGGGTAATTCCCAAAAAGAGTTTTCCAAATCGTGTCATCCTTTTGTTCGGTGAATTTCCTGGATTCTCTCTGAGTATGTGTATTGCAGGTAATATAGCTGTGATGGGCGATTCGGTGATTTGGTTCATGCTGTAATGTTACCAGAGTAGAGTTACGCGTGGCAGTTTTGGCCTTTTACTTTCTCAAAAAAATATCAGCTCTTGTTTCAATGATTAATTCCAGACTGAAGTTCTATTTCGCTTTAAGGTTTGGTTGGAGCAAGCCCTGTAGTATCCACTGTATCTACTGAGGATTCAAACATGCCAAGACTGGCTTTATGGGGCCAGATTTGTCGCCGTCTAGCTGCCAGACCTGCTTGTGTTGAACAAGTCCATACGGATGGTTTTCTTGAACTACAGTTACGGTCGAGTAATTAGAGCCTGGTACTTTAGTACTCAGTCAAATATAAAGCTGCTGCTGCTGCTGTAATTAGGGTTTTAAAAGAACCAAAGAAATTAATCCAATCTACACGTATATCTTCATGAATGAAAGTAATTCTTCTCGATGATTGGTGCAAATACGTTGAAAGTGTAAAAGCCTCACCATAAGTTTAGTTGAATTACCCCTGCTAGCACATTTAAAGAAGTTTTGCTCATGGCAGGTTCTGTCTTGATAAACACTACATTTCCATGTTGACTATTTTCAGAGAATGACTTGCAGTCAGTTTTCATGGTGTCGGCTCTGGTGTGTTTTGAGACATGCGACAATCAAGTGCTGTCATCAACTGTTGGTAAGTTTTCACTCAGTAGAATATTCCCTTTAGACGGAAATTTAATTCTTTTGGTTCTATTTAATAACTTCCCGGTACACGTGTAACTGTGATCAATCAATGATTATGGAATATTTAGGAAATTTATTTAGGAAAATGTCAACGGGACAAAACATTCGATCAAGGTTTCAGTCGAAACGCATCCTGCGCCCGATACATTCAAATTTGTACGAGGTCCCTTGGTTTGGTCAATGTACACAGCTTGTCGGCTGAGATTGAGTCCAAATTGTTGCTAAATCTTTTCTTAACTTGAACTCGACAGTTTGAAAACATGGAAAGCCATTTTCCATGTATTAGTAATCTTTTTGATGAGTGGAACTCTAATCTTTCGCTTAGTATACGTGGTGCTCGTTAGCCTTTGTAATAATTTTTTTCGGTATACGATTTTATGCTCTAATCGCGACCAGACAGTCATAGAAAATTTGTTTTGCACTGTAATAGACTGCGTGTGTCATCAATGTTTTCCTCAACAGAACCTTGGAAGGCAGTTGACAAACCAGTCCCTCTAGAGGAACTGAAATCAGTACCAGCGGATTCAGAAAGCATCGAATGTGCGTATGCCATCTGGCAAAGAAGAGACCCTGAAAATGGAAGCTTCAGGAAGGGAAAGAAAAAGAGAGGTGTGGACGAGAATGTGTTGAACCACGAAACCACAATTTGAATTTGAAGACCTCTTTGCTTGACGTAAAAATACTTAATTGTGTTGTGGATCAAGAGAACGTGCGGCTCTAACCCACCTGTTTTACTTTCTTTATTTTCATTAGCTGAGAATAATTGCAGCATTTAGGAATGAAATTTTACAAATATAGCAGTTTGGAAGATACATGATTGAGCTCCTGAGTAGAGCCTTTTGTTCTTTCAGTTAACGATGTATGTTGTTTTTCAACAAAGAAATAAACAATATTGTGTTCTGGTTATTTGTATGAAAGTAGCTGAGTTTAAGAGATATAATTGTTTTTTTGGATTTGAAAATACATGTAAACATAATTATTAATTGGCTGAATGTTTCTCTACTGTACATCAACTGACTTGATGGCGGAGTTTGGCCGCTCGTTGTGTGGGAAATGATGGCAGCTTTACTAGTACCAATTAAAGAACGTTAAGTTACGAGACGAATTAAGCAATAATCTTTTAATTTTTGTGAGCCATCAGATATCAAAAACTTTTGTCATAAAGTTTTGAAAGATTGTTAGCCCGAGGTGGAATTCTGTGCTTCTTTTTAAACTTATTTTCAAGTTTGCCTCTTACAGAAGGATGGTGAGAGAAAGTAACGTCATTTATTGTTGACCAAAATCAGATTTTTAAAACTCTTACTTATATGAAGTCACTCTCGCTCTCGATCCAACTCCCTCAAAAGACCTCGACTAGAACACGATCTAGTAATAGCGGACATTTAAAAACGACAAATCGTTAGTAATAACTCGGCCTACAGCTTCTCTGAGATCCATTGGTTTTTTTGCCAAAAATGAGATCGGACGAACGAGAACGGTCAAAAGAATAACACTGATAAAAAATAATGCCTTTATCGTGCTTATATTGACAAAGTTTTAAAACGTTAATCGTGGGACAAACGATTTAAATATTTTGTCTTACCAGTAACTCTAAATTTTTGTATCAACCTATACATCGACTATTTGAACTGAGGAACGATTAAACGAGAATTACAATTTTGTGTCAGAAAGTCACACATGTTATACATATATGTTACGTTATTCGCTGGCCGGGAGGTCCGTATTGGAAAAAGTATACCCGAGGTCTTGAGTACCGCCTGAAGCCGTGGGCCGAGGGTGGTACTCAAAACAGAGGGCACAATTTTACCCAGTACGAACCGCCCCAGGCTGGTGAATAAAATTTTAATTTTTTTCTTTAAACTCGACGAAATTCTTTCCAAAAGAACCTGAATGATTTAGGGCTGTAATTATGGTAGGATCTTCCATAAACGGAAATTTTTGAGCGAATAAATAGTAGTTAAAATAGAGGTGATGCAAATTAAAGAGAGATGCCTCACCGAAACATTTTCATTTGTGTAACGATAAAGGTGATTTAAAAGGCTTCCAAACTAACTTTGAAACATTATTTTTGCAAGTATCTGTCACAACCTGACACCTGTCAATTAGAGAGCGCTTAAGAAACAAAAAAGGGCAAGTACACTTTTGAAAAAACAACGGAGCTAGTTTGGCAAGGACTGTCACGACAATGTTTTCTTCAAAAACAGTCAATGATCTTACGGAAAGTATTCTTTACTCTCATCGACGATTAGTTAATGTACAAAGATTTACCTCTGTTCAGTAGTTAAAAGGCAAGGAAAGTAATTGTAAGTAAATTCAAATTATTTATTTTGAAGTTGTGAGGGTTTGCACGTTTGTTTACTGGAATGGCTTGTCTAAAGCTGGTTTTTCCTCCACAAAACTAAATTCCAATGAGCCACTTCAACTAGACGCAAGGGAATTTAAGGCGGCTTTTTCTCATTGAATTCCGTCAGTTTCTTTTTCTTCTGTTAAACGGTTCAAACGTCCAAACTGAACGGACTTGAGGAAACTCACCGAAAGCGCCTTTGTGGTAGAACTGAAAACTTCGCTCGCCCTTTCAGTACGAACAAATTATTTTAGAGAATTCAGATATTAAATGGATGAAAGTTCCGTCAATTAATTGAATTGTAACCACATACCTCGCGTTTTAACTTCCTAGGTTATTTTTGTGAAGGATTAAAATTAATTACAGACGGTGTTTAGGCCGCTTGTCAACCAATTTAATGATTCTCTTGCTTGTATACAAATTCATTTCGAAACCAATAATTTTCTGTCAACCAGAATGATCTGAGAGAGAGAAAAGAGAGGATTAATAAGTCATTTATCGGCTTGAGGTGGTGACCGACGTCTTTGCTTAAATATACTGCCCAGTAATAATAAATAATACAAGAAAAGCTCAGAAGCTCAGAAACTCAGAAGATCTAAATTTAGAATATCTCAATTTCGATTGCTCACGGGGAATAACCAACGACTAAATTCAACAATAACTTTTAAGGCAGATATTGAATGCAGCTTAAGGCTCCAAAAACTGATTATGCTATCAAAAGACCAGTCTCTGTAAATGAGAAGCAAGAAGTGCCTGTCATGCCAACCTGGGGTTAAAAACGTTGGACCTCTTCCGTAGCCGTAGAAATCCACTTTATTACCAAACGGATGACATCAGTTCTCATCAGTAATTCAGTTGAGGCGGTTTTGGTTTCCAGCTGATAGAGCTCGCATACTTGAAACTGAAAGAAAAAACAGGCCATTCCCCTTCTAAGATACAGGGCATTTTTGTCTTTCGCTGGGGAAGTCAAGTCAATAACATATTCCGTTTTCAAGCTCTCTGCATACATTGTCTGAAATTAACAGTTTTGCTCGAGCCTCTCCTTAAGTGGTCTCTTCTCGTGCATTTTAGAAAGGTTAGAAAGTAAAAATTTTTTTGCAAGGAATTACTCGGCCGTATTTATAGAGGATTTTTTTCTTTAGAGATCCAAGAAAGTGAAAGTTATCTCTAAAGGTGACTGAAGTTAATTTTAGAACAGATTGAACTCCCCAGTACAGTTTTGGTTTAAGTCTCTTTGTAGGCGAACTAGCTAGCACCATGCTTTTGAGACAGAAAAAGAAATCTTTGAGATGAAAAACTGTTAACTCTTGGAGCCTTTGCCGGGAGTTACCTAACAGTATTCTATAGGGGAGGCTTTTTAAAAGTGAAAGTTGCCTTCTTAGGAAAAAAATCAGTAATTTTGGAATAAATCTAACGTAATATCAATATAAATCCCCTTTCAGGAGTATTAATATGGTGCGCCTTAATCAACCTCAACGCTTAGTTAGTTGTTGACCGTCAAGTAAGTAAGCTGATCATGGCAATTCCAGAGACAACTTGGATCCATCTCCTTGATGAAAGAGCACCACATTTAACCGAGGAAGTCGCACCAACTAAGCTGCTACCCTATTTGAATTTATCAAAATGGGATAAAGAGAACATCGTTTGCGACGAACGAAACCTGGGACCCGCTTACGCGACATCGACTCTTCTCGACAAATTGAAGAGGCGGAATGGACCAAAGGGCTGGAAGACATTTGACGCGCTCGTCAGAGCTCTTAGAAATATCGGAAATCAACAATCGGCACTGCTGCTTGACCCAAGTATAAATATACCATATGGAAATTAAAAGGCTATCATCTTAGAAGTGCAAAGTTGTCTATCAAATCACCTTTAAATGACACCGGCTCAAGATATTCCAACTAAATTGCAATATGCAAATCATCCTTCCAGTTCCTTCAGTTCCTTCTGCTTCAGAGGAAATTGAAGATGAAAACTGCTCTCGACTCGGAATTCTGGGTACAGCAGCAGGTATGTAAAAGATTTAATTAGGTTCACCTCTGATAAAAGTTACAAACCAATTTACCGGTGAACCCCTTTATTGGTATAAAACTTCAAGTAAGTCGCTCTGTGGTTAACTCGCACAAAGAGAACACACCGTTGTACTAAGCTTTCATAGAAGACATGGTAATCTGTTTTAAAATACTCAGAAGAGGATTTTTTTTCCATTTTTTAACAATACAGAAATTGGCGTCAGAATACGTCTAGTGGACGAAGAAACAAAAAGTTATTGCGAGAAACTGGAGAACGAAATCTGGAGAAAGTTTCAAGACACCAGATCGGAAAGCACCGTCCCTCGAACTGCGTAATAAGTTGCATGAGGTAGGAAGTTCATAATTGTAAAACAAGATTTGAAAAGTTGACAAGGTACATGAAAGTTGTTAAGGAGTTTGATATCTTCGAAGCACTGATCGCCACTGAATCTGTCACATTATTCTTATTAAATTAGGCGCCCTTAGAAATTTTCCTCGAGTTCAACAAGTTTCTGAAATAATTTTTAAGCAAACTGTGCATAATATGTTTATTGCTAAGGGGTTACTTTGCACTCGTGAGTTATTTTCAAATAAAGACTGGCGAATTCACTCGGACCACACTTAGTGTAATGCGTGGAGGCCCTACAGTGACCTTTAGCAGTCCTGGCGGCAACGCCGTGGAAGACGTCGATAAAAAGATATTTATATTTTTGGTTTGAATTCCGGGAATAGTTTGATGTTTTTACCGTCTCTCACAGCGCCATACCTCAACTTCAGCACAACATATGTTAGAAGCGTTTAGTTCTGAGCGCAAATTCAAACAATCTACCGTCCGGGTTTCCGCTCCCGGTCCACGCCCGTGCTGATCTACTGTTCTACTTATTAGAACTTCAGCTTCTTGTAATTTCCTTTGCTAAATCGAAACGGAGATATCGATTGGAGACGTGATTTGAGATTTACCGTTTAATTGCTTTTGGGGAAATGGGCACAGAATCGACTGTTAAACATGTTCGAAACCGTTACACGTTGTTGTAGAGCATAAAAATATCAATCCACAACTTTGGTTTCTAACCCGAACGACCCTAATTTTTTGAGTGAACGTAAACTGATTTGTACGTAAAACGCGGAAAGTGCTAGTGCTTTAACGTGAATCAAAGTGAAAATCAGCACTGGGTTCTATGAGGAATTCTTCCTTCCTTTACGAGTCTTCCCTGGCAAGCCCAGGCTTGTTTCCTCACCAAGGGTTCCTTTCATTCAACAAAAATCATCGCCGGTTTCAACTTCTCGGACTATCCGACAAATTGTTCAGGAACTTCTATCTCGGTTTATTTCCATTTTAGACCACAAATCATGAAACTTTTGGCTTAATATAAAGCCCCATACGTCATGATATAACCACGAAACTCCATTTTGACGTTATACAAAATCGCCGAATCGACATCCATTGATTTAAAATCAATATTTATTTTGGTCCATCGTTAAACAAATCATATGGTGTGTTCCTTTTTTTTTAATTGGGCAAAACTTCACCTTCTTATCTACCTAATAGACTTAAAAGGCTCACCACACTTAAAGATCAGTTTACTTCATTAATTTCATTAACGCACAGTTCAGACGCCGTACTTCGGCCGAGCCGAATCAAATTCAACGAATTAAGTTCATGTGAAGTACGGCGTCTGAATCAATTCGGAAGGACTGATTTAATTTAGATGGGTTCAGTCAATTAATCCCGCTTGGCTCTGCAGGGAAGAACGACTGTGGGCCGGCTTTGATTCAGACGCCGTACTTCAACTGAGCCGAACCAAATGCATAAATTATTTTAATGTATTTTTCATGCTGTTTTTACGGTTACATGTTCGCTACTTACATGCCGAATTCGCTACTTACTTCATCCCATCATTTTATCGTTCTACCTCCACGATCTTTCCGAACCAACATCTTGTTTTAAAGAAATCCGCCTTACTCAGCCTGAAATGGTCACCATGTTTCAGCGTATTATGGTGGTTATCATCGAGCCTGCGCATCGCTCACAATGGAGTGAGCAGACGTAGAAACCTTTGGCCTGGAAGAGATTTATTGATAACATCTTTTCACTGAGGGACATTTCTATAAAAGAAGCTTACAATTTTGTTGACTTCACCAGTACGTTCAACATTACAATCAGGTTTACTTGTGAAACGCAACTTCGCAACTATCACAAAAATAATTAAATGAGGTGGTTAAAAGTAAACTGGAAGTCAATCTGCAGAATTTTAACTGACACCTAAAAGCAGCAATCCTGCAGTTGGGAGTATAAATTACAGATATAGCTTGTGGTTTATGTTTAATAGAGAATTAAAACTGTGAATTGACAGAGGCAGCGAATTCGGTATTCGACGAGTACTCGACGAGTAGCGAAACCGGCGTAAAGCGTCGCTACCACTCGATGATGCATGACAAGAAGGAGAGTGAGCGCACATACGGTTATTACTTGTCTTCTTCAGGCTGCAAAATAGGCTAAGACGGTTTGCATATGCATTCTTCTTCTTCTTCTTCTTTTTTTTTGGCACTGTTTTCCACCATTTTGAGCAGAAGAAAGGCTCTTACGCGCCGATTGCTGCCGGAATCCATGGCATCCGCCGTTTTTACAATTGCATGCTAAACTAATGGCCGAATATTAATTTTCTTCGATTAATTAATTTCGGCCGAATAAAGTTCGGCGTTTGAATCTCTTCAACCAGGATTAACTAATTTAGGTCGGTCTATCGTTGAATTCGATTCGGCGCGGCTGAGGTACGGTGTCTGAACCGGGCCTAATGCAACAAACGATCCCCACCGAATTTTTTTACATAAATAAGCACCGCTATTTAACCATGTGTTGTATCTCACCAAAGAAGTCTTCAATTTCCTTATTCTAGGATTTACCAGAAGGCGCAGCTTTCTCAGCGTTAATTCAAGAAACGAAAGATGAGGTGCTAGTTTGCAAACTTCGAGTATCTCAGAAGTCAGTCGCTGAGCAGATTTGGGAAGATTATGGTAATGGAAAGCTGAAGGCAGTTCTGAAAGAAAAATTGCTTCATGGAATAGGTGCTGATAACAACCATTTTAAAATGAGTATTCATATCATGGAGGAAGAATATGAACGGGCATATAAAACTTTGGCAGGTAAAATATATTTTCCATTCCTTTGGTCATTTCAATGAGAGTTTTGAAACGTTTGCTTGCTTTCTGGAACTTGCAGATGGTGTCATGAATTAAGTTGATAACACCTGAACACGACAGAAATCCCAGAATTCATTGAAATTGTTAGCAGTGGTATGAAATACTGTCTTTAAACTATCGAGACGCGAGATGAAGCATAGCGCACTGCTCCAGTAGAGTTTCTTTATCGCGCCAAAGAGAAACGTTTAAACTTTCATTATGGGATCACACATTTGAGTTGGTCGATTTTTTTTTCAGGTGGTAATTCAACTGAGCTTTCAGACGAAACGCAAAAAATGAAAAAAAGTAGGCATCCCGCCAGGTATGGTGACACCTCCTGTATTCTAATCTCTGATTGGTTCTTTTTTTTTCTTTTTTTTTTTTTTACCTGAATATGTTAATCTAATGTTAAGTTTCTGATGGCGCATCACATTCAACGTTTCCTTTTACTTTCATCTCACGACTTAAAGATAAAATATTCTCAGTTTGACCTTTCTCTTACAGTGTTACTTGACAAAAGTGCAAGTTGGAAACTTGAACTCCATTCATAGCAACATGAGCCTTCGATCCCTGCGTTGAAAGGGAACAGCTGCATCCTTTTGCGCTACAACAAACAGTGGAAAGACTTACGTAGCACTTGCCATAGCTACAGCACACCTGGCAGAGAACAGGGTCCCCATAGATTCCAGTCAGTCAGAGGTTTTGGGGAAAGGATCTCTGTAGATCAAGGAGACAAGACGAGTACTATTGGGAAGCTTGAATATTTCCATAATGCAAATAAGCTAAAGCAGATTTCTTAAAAGTAAAGCAATATGAAATCTTCGCATAATGAAAATAAATGGAGAATGTTTGCTTCTTGTGTGATATAAGAACCTCGCAGCAGGTTTAAAGGTCGATTGAAACTATGCATGTCCGCTTTGTCACGCTATGAATTTAATTCACGAAAATTTGGCCTAAAAAAGTTACTTGATTTAGCAGCCCTTTCTATGATTACAGTACAAAAACAATGGAAACTCAATGCTGTTTATGGCGTGTTTTTACAAGTACTGGCAAGTATGTGGTGCCGGACGCATAGTAAATTAGCATAGTTTACCTTTTCTTTCAGGGAAGACACAGAAGCGGTGACTGACTCGAATTGTAAAACCTTGGAGTTATCTTAAATAGCCCAGAGTTAGTGACTCTTCTTTCAACACCAAATATCAAAACTTCGCGAGGAACGAAATAATTTAGTACGTACAGCCATGATGACGTGACGGACGAAATGCCCGTTACAGAACAAACTAGTCAACAGGTTGAAATAGTGCTGTCATTTATCTTGAAGACCAATAAGATACTTGTCATGAACGGTATATCCAGAGAGAGATCCTCGCGTAGCAGTTGTAAATGCCTTTCACCTCAGAGGGCATGGAGACTGCAACTATGACGCAATAAAAATCCACATTAAGCCAGATTGCATCGATATCATAAGTTACCCAGGTCCCGGTCCAACTCTTACAAAGGTGAATAATACCGAAAGCAGTTAAGTACCAGAGGTACCATCTAGGAACAGAAAGATTGCAAGGTTCCTCAACTGAATCGAGTCGGGTATCTAGTTCTTGAGAGGGGCAAGAACTAAAATTGAATTTAGAGCGAATTCAGATCAAGTACAAAGGAAAAGAATCGGGTAGCATGAAACAGTAGAAGGAAAATACCAATTTAACAAGACACAAAATGAGTCTGTTCGGGTGTTGAGTTTTACCCAACGAGGTGTTGAGTATTACCCTCCTGCTGGGAAGTTAGGTTGGAATATAATATGAGTTATCCTTGATAAACTTAGAGCTATTTTAAGTACATTTAGCCCCTCCTAGTAGGAAAGTATGGCAACCCTTGTAATGATAACCTTTCAATTCTTGTACATACAGTGAGTGTGTCGGTTACCTCTGCAAAGTAGCCTTTACTGAACTTTATTTTGATGTAACATTTTGCCTTGAAAGCATTTCAAAGAAACTGAAAGTTGACTTGTAAGGTAAGATTCAGGGGTATTTCTATATCTATAAAATTTTATTCATGTTGACTTTTGACGAGTTAGTAAGTTTTTCGTAAATTTACTTTCAAAAGGGGAAAGCGATGTATTGATCAAATTGACCTGTTTTTGTAAAGGCTTTCGGAAATCTTGAATTAAGTTTTGGACAGAATTGATGGTCATCAAGGGACTAGAAAAAAGATGAGTGTCTTGCAAAGATCTACTAGATGTGTTTTTACATTTTTCGGCCGCAAGTTTCTCCCGTTTTATTTTTAATATAACACCAGGTGTTTCTTTTTATTTATTGTAGAGATAGATCATTTAGTTATTTAAGAATATTACTCATCGTGTAACAGAAGTTCAATTCGAACACCTGCATGAACAAATTTTCATCAAAAGCGTTTGAGCATGTTGATGAAACAACCCATTAGGGAAGTTTGATTGTAACAACTTGATTGTAAATCATGATGCCTATTTCAAAATGACACATGCTCATATCAATTTCGAGCATGTTAATCTAGCTACAATTCGTACGCATTCATTTCCATTTTGTACTGCACTGGACTGGTATAAGTGAAATAAATGTAACAAGAGGGACAAGATGCCATTTGGCTGCTTGGATTATTTTATTTTATGGTAAATACTGACATTTTCAGGACAGCCAAAGTCTCATGGCGCACAACATTTCAAACCATAGGAGAGCAATGGATAAACGGTCATCTCGATTGCGTCACAGTTTTGGAGTCACGCGGAGGGAAAGAATAAAACTATTATGCGGCAGATCGAGACCTAGATAAGGGGAGGGGCCCGGGACTGCTAACCTTTGAAGCAATCGGGAGAGCTCTGCTGAGGACTGTTTGTCCAACCAAGGGCCATATGGACCGATTGCAGAGGTGTCCGAGCAAAAGCAACCAGTGTATATAATCAAGCCGTTTTTTGGCAAGGTTATGAATTGTCAATATGTTTTAGAAAAGCATTTTTGAACACCGTTCTCAGATCCAAATTATTCCACGAAAAGATGCCGTTACCCATGCAGACACCCGCACAGCATCCACAGCAAGCACAGAAAGCCTCAACAATTGTAACAAATAACAAAGACCAAACGACTTTTCCTTTAAGATCTTAGACATGTCGGTAATCCCCCTTCATGAACTTAAAAGACCCATTGGGAAACGCAAACTCACAGAGTTGCAGAACACAGCTCGAAAAAATACTGAACAGTAATGACTGGATTAGGTGGCTTCTCCTTTTAAAATGTTCTGCTACACACGTGCGCAAGTTCAGTATGATATTAAGTAATTAAAAGAGTGCATGATACTTGACACAACCCAGCACGCTGATATACCCCACGGAATAAAAATGGCATCAAGGATCATGTCTGTCTATAAACGTATGGAGGAGCCCAATCGACCAATAGAAACTTCAGGCATCAAGATGGAAGGCCAACGAGAACTCAATCCACTGATAATTTACTAGCTCTCGATGTTCGACTCTCCTGCTGGCTAACACTTCCCTAAAACAATGGACTTGTGTTATTCTAAGTTTCCGTTAAGTCAAGGCAATCGTCCTTTTTGCGGCGAGGATTTGCTATTGCTGGCCACGAACGGGTGACTTTTTCTGATGAGTCTGATGTCTGAGGGCTCTTTTTCTTTTTGTCTGCGCTCACACATAATCTTTTTCGTGAAAGAGAGCTCTCTGGATCAAAGTCAGAATTGATGAATATTGTCGGGTCATACAAGCGAGCTTTGACGTAGCAATCTCTGTATTCTTTTTCAAATGACTTATCGACTGAACATCTCTGGAAGTGGATGTAGCCAAGCAAGCGGTGCTGCAAAGCTAGGTTTTTAAAGTCATCTTTCAGAGTCAGCTGTATGGCGGTTTTCACATTCTCCTCTGCCTTTGCGAGGAATCGTAAAATATTTTTACGCTCTTCAATGCTGTTACCCTTTTCTGATCCTTCATTGGTAGTGTTTAAGTTATACAGGTTTAACAAACAGTCTGCAAACTGGAAAGATACTGAGGCATCTGTTTTTACAACCTCACCCATAGCCTCATAGAGCTTGTTAGCGTTCTGTAAGGCCTCTAAGTTTTGTTCTTCATTTGCATTCTTCTGACACAGTTGAGACGCTTTAGAAACAACACACGAAAGGTCGCTGATGCCTGCACCTTCTTCCGACAGGCTCTTGACAAGTTTGACACCGGCCGGTATGTCTGTTACATCGGCTTCACTCCATTTAAGCAGCTTTTCCTTCAGAAAACTACGGCGTTGTCTTCTTCCTTCAATAAACTCGTGATAACGTTGATATTTTGCATCGTGCTTGTCATCCCCGAGCAATTCAAAAAGCCTAACGATGAGGGTTTCAGACAGCATCCTTGGCTTTTCCTCGAGGAAACCTGTGATCAGCGTCACGGCTTCCTCCTTGCTTCCCTTCGCACAGAGATAATCAGCTCTACTTCTGACGGAATGAGCGATGTATTTGGGGTGCCCAGGAAGACGGACGCGAAAGTATGACTCTTTGAAATCAAATTTAGGTTTGGGATTGTTGTTCTCCTTCATAGAACGAAAGATTGTGCCGACACCAGTGTATCTCCCTTCAGCCAGCTTCAATGATTTTAAGAAGTCTGCTATCCGCCTATTCCTGGATGGGACAGGTGGTACTTCTCCATCTTCAGAGAAATCGTCTTGATTCAGACTGGGATCTGGACCAGGATAACTAATGATGTCAATGAACTTTGGCTTAATATGAATTTTGATTGGATCAGGATGACACCTTTCATAACTTCTGTGATGGAAAGCGTTGACGACGGCTTCACGAAGAGCTCGTTCAGGATAGGCAACCATGGCAAGGCTCAAATCTCTCTTTGGAATGTCCAGGATAAAACGCAAACATTTCTTGATTTGTTGGTTGATTGGACCAGTCATTCGCACCTCTTCTTCTGCCTCGTTGTCATGGGTAAATATAGCAATTTCAGTGCTAGCACCCGTGAAAAATTCATGAGGTCTTGGGTGGAAGAAAAGTAAGGCCACATTTCGTGGTGTAAACATTTGCTCAGTTACAGGGTGTACCAGTTGCAGTTTTTCATAGAGATGAATCGGTTCGATCTCTTGACCAACAAGGGCGCTATCGCTATCTTTCAAATATTGCTGTACCAAACTCAAATCTATGCTGTTTTCATTCAACAGGGAACCGAGCTCTGGTGGGAAATAAAACAAGGCAATTTTATTGATTTACCCTCCAGAGATATCTCATCGTCAAGAAAGAAACAAATTTTCTAGTGTCAATTATATACGAAGTCTTTTGGTTCGAAAAAAATATTGACAACTTAACAGGCGATCTCTGTAAGAGCGGTCCAGAGCATTTCGCATCGGAAAAAAGTTTCCCTCAAACTTTGCACAATAAACTATCTTTGGTAACAAGTAAATAAAACCACATTAGTTTCTGGAAATACTTTAAAATTAAATTTTTAGAGCTCTCAAAAGTCAAAGCTACAAAAGGCCCTCTTTTGACCTCTTGCGACATCGAAAATTTTCAAAAGTTGAATAGCCCGGTCCTCGTATCACACCGCGTGCAGCAAAAAATATTTTGTATTCTTAAAGTGTGTGATATATAAGGTGTATAAAATGCATTTCAATTTTGATATTCGTTTATTCAGAGGTTCGTCATAATTTATTTAAAAACACTCGTTGGACAGCTTTCTGAAATTGGTTAAAAGTACTCTTTCTTTCTTGGTTGGTATTGCTCAAGTCCAGACCAGACCATTAAAAACTCCGCTTGATTTCTGCTAATAAGATGTTTGGCTGCAGAAAAATATAAAAACATCTTGCACTTATTGATTTTCTTCGCAGAGGTGACTTCAAACTTTTAGCGGCATTGCTAGCGTGACAGCCGATTATGCAAATTAGTTCAGTGAGCAAACTCCGACCGTTTTATATGAGTAGCTCAACCAGTAACCATTTTGAGTAGAAAATATAGTAGAAATATAGTAGACAGAGCTTTAAGACCACACCGATTAATACCTTAAACATTTTAAAAGGCAAAAATTTAACAAATTTTAATATCTCGTGACGAAAGACAGCAACAACAACGTATCGAATAACATAATTTGATTAGCGCTCGCAAACTCTTTTTTAAAAATTTGGCTTCTGTTATTTCATATTTGAGTTCTGACAGCTTACGCTATTCAAACCTCTATGAACATTTCAAAACCACACTAAAGGATTCTATTTAGTGTAACCGGCGATAACAGCACACACTGAAATACACCGTGACCACTGTCACGTAATTCAATTGTGTAATTATTCTGAATTGCTTCTCCCTTCGTAATAAAGCAGCGATGGCTCGGATTTCTAGCTGAAAGGGAAAAAAAGGTATTTGGTCGTCACACCTGTCTGCTTAACAGTCTCTGTTCATATGTTTGAAGAGTCCTTGTGAAAAAGGATATCGCATTCGCATAATTAACGGGTGGACGTCATAACTAGATTGCAAAACAACTGCACTCCGAAATCATTTCCTCCATTTTTGCAAGAGGTGCTGCATTTGTATCTTGCATTTTGAATGCGAGCTCAAAATGTTTGCACATGTCTCTTAGCATCTTTACTTTGAGACTAGGCAACCTTGCTTCTCTTGCCAACGAGCACACATAGATATCAAACATGATTGGATGTTTCAATCCTATCTCATCCATTACTGTGTTCCTCGCCTCTCTCAAACACCCTTCGTTTACATCAGACGGAGATGCTTCTATCAAGTGGTCGTCTGCGTCGGTGGCATCGTCCGATTCTTGTTGTATTTTAGATCGCTGTTTAAGGCACAATCTCGAGAAGAAATCCTGAATCTGTATGTTGGATAACCACTCTGTTCTATCGAACATTCTCTCTCCATCTATTGTGTAAGCAGTTCGCATATCCTTTGCTACTTTCTCTAGGTTTGGTTTCTGCCAGTGTCTCATCCGATATTAAATTTCTGTGTCAAGTACTGCCTGACGTTTAGCGAAAGCCGTTCACTTGCACCTCTCTTATGAAGAGCCCATCCCATGAGAAGCTTTGATGTACTTGTCAAGGGTTCTGTGGCTACTGCAACCAGTTCAGTCGAACTTTCACCCTCTAATAATAATGACTGAAAGTGATGAACCCACTACCTCTTCACTTTGTCATAAAGACTTTAAGTCATGCTCATAGGCACAGGACTTACATGATGAACTAGCTAGTTCATATAGAAGTCAAGGTCAGCCTGGGTCTTAAAATCTTCATCGCAACCAGGTTCAGGGCATTGATAGGAACTACTGTCGTTGCCATCATTGCTTTCTCGTGCTGATGCAGTTCGTCGAGCAGAAGTGGGGAAAAATAGAATCTCCTCCACCAGATCGGTCTTTTTTCTGTGGAAAAATTGCAATTTTAATTTTACCGAATAAACTTTCCAGGCCCAACATTAAACGCTCTTCAAACGCGCAGGCCCTCTTGTGTAAACTCAAAGTTGTGTAAATTGCTGAAAGTGGCAATCTTGATATCCGAGCCCTCGTAGACATGATACCAGCTTACTGTTGTGATAGCAACCTGCTTCATCCGATCTTAGAAAGGCCTTTTTTATGCCTGAATTTCGTAACTTTATGGTGACAAAGAGATTTCTAGGACTGACAGCACTGAAAACCATTCTTGTTTACAGCTGTTAAGAAGGTGCACGTATCAGGTTACTTCCAGGCTTTCCTCCTGTCTTAAAACAACGCTACTCACATGCCAATTGATTTCCCTCTTGAGAAAGTATTCTGCTTGCTTTTCCCGGAACTTCATCGCTATGAACTTCATTGTCCAGTCAACTATCATAAATGCTTTATCTCCCTTCAAAGTATCGACAATTTGCCGCTTGTACTGATCCTGGTTTCTGCTCTCACGATATGCCCTCTCCATTCAAAGATCTTAGCGGCAGCAATTTTTTACTTCATACAGATAGTCTTCCGCTTGGAACCTACCAAATTGAATTGTGTACTCAGAAATAGCGCCTTTTACTTCTTCAAGAACACTCTTCGGTTTCTCACAATCCTCACACCTCACGTTGTGACTGTGACTGCATACTTTCTGAACGTCAGTGTCAGCAGCATCGCTCAGTGCAAAGACCCTACAGTGATCGGCACATTTACTATCGTCCTCTTCGCAGTGATTACGGTATGTAGTCTTCAAATACAACTTGCTCTCCTGAAGCCTCTCCCGAACCTCTTTACACTAGTCCTTTTCTGCTCCCACGCTTTCCAATTCGTCTATAAGTTGGAGAAAATCCTTGAAACCATCCGCTCCCTCAGCTGCAGTATTGTCTAAACCTCTATAGAACGCCATACATCTTAGAAATGGCTTTTGACATTTGCAAATTGACAGAATACCGGCTCTTTACCCCTTTGGAATCGCTGCCAGGGTGTGTCGGATACTGGCACGCTGAACTTTGGCGCCAGAACTTCCCATAAATGTGCCTATGCTTTGCGCAGACCCACATTTTGCCATAACTGAGTCTTCTCCATCGAACAGGCCAGCCCTTGCAAAGATAAGCTCTCCTTCTCTGAAACTCTCTTTTGACAAATGGACTAAGCAGAGATGACTCTTTATTGAGTCAGTACTCTGAGGCAAGTTAAACAAACCGGAAACTCCTCGTGAGTCTCCGAACGAAGTTTCTGAGGAAAGCGACTGAAAACAGGACTTCTTGTGACGAATACCGCTTCAAGAATTTAGTGTTATTAATCCCAAGCAAACCAGTACCCAAAGAGACATATGAATTACAGCTAATAAAATTACGCGCTTTACAACATAGATATAGCTAATCGTTGGAAAAATGAGGTGACATGTAACGTAATGTGAAAACAGGGTTTTGCCTTCACAAATGAACGGACGGACGGGGACAACTCTTAAAACTCTTGTGGGTAAAGGCTCTCCTTGGGGGCACTCGCTGGCTGCGGGGAGGTAACCGGAATCTATTACGGCTGCTGACTATCCTTGAGAGAATGACTAACAACAACAGGGTTGGCTCCAACGTAGATTTATTCTGCAAGCTCGACTACAATTTTGACCAGAACGGACCTGGCCAGGGCTGGTTCGACCCCGTTCTACTCCCTAACTTTCTCACCGCTAAGCTTTACAGAACAGTCCTATTTAAACCTAACGTACATGGATAACGTAATGTCATGAATAATCTAAAGGATCATGTAATCTACTAAACTATTGGCTTAGTAGGAATTTCGCCTTTTGCAACATTAATTACTTTCAAAGAGTTCCCGTGGATAACAGTTACACAAAAGACATGACAGGTGGCTGTTACAGTTTAACACTAATAACAACTGTTTACGGTGACTAAAGGAGAACTGGTAGCATTTACGCTTTGCTGATCTAAGCTTTCTACGTTGAATATTGTATTTTTGAAGCGCAAGCATGAAAGAACTCGATAACTAAAAATCCTATCGTTACAGTAATAATTTATTTCCTTAAAAATCGCGGAGTCCTTTTCCACAAGAACTCCCTAGAGTTCTGAATAGAAAACTTTCATAGAGACAGATGTGCAGAAAAATTTCCTCCTATTCCTGACGACCAGAATTCTGATCCTAAAGGCGATGTTATCGCTGTTTTATTACAAAGGGAGAAGCAATTCAGGATAATTACACAATTGAATTACGTGACAGTGGTCACGGTGTATTTCAGTGTGTGCTGTTATCACCGGTTACACTAAATAGAATCCTGTAGTGTGGTTTTGAAATGTTCATAGAGGTTTGAATAGCGTAAGCTGTCAGAACTCAAATATGAAATAACAGAAGCCAAATTTTTAAAAAAGAGTTTGCGAGCGCTAATCAAATTATGTTATTCGATACGTTGTTGTTGCTGTCTTTCGTCACGAGATATTAAAATTTGTTAATTTTTGCCTTTTAAAATGTTTAAGGTATTAATCGGTGTGGTCTTAAAGCTCTGTCTACTATATTTCTACTATATTTTCTACTCAAAATGGTTAAATCTGAGATTTATTGAGCTACTCATATAAAACGGTCGGAGTTTGCTCACTGAACTAATTTGCATAATCGGCTGTCACGCTAGCAATACCGCTAAAAGTTTGAAGTCACCTCTGCGAAGAAAATCAATAAGTGCAAGATGTTTTTATATTTTTCTGCAGCCAAACATCTTATTAGCAGAAATCAAGCGGAGTTTTTTAATGGTCTGGTCTGGACTTGAGCAATACCAACCAAGAAAGAAAGAGTACTTTTAACCAATTTCAGAAAGCTGTCCAACGAGTGTTTTTAAATAAATTATGACGAACCTCTGAATAAACGAATATCAAAATTGAAATGCATTTTATACACCTTATATATCACACACTTTAAGAATACAAAATATTTTTTGCTGCACGCGGTGTGATACGAGGACCGGGCTATTCAACTTTTGAAAATTTTCGATGTCGCAAGAGGTCAAAAGAGGGCCTTTTGTAGCTTTGACTTTTGAGAGCTCTAAAAATTTAATTTTAAAGTATTTCCAGAAACTAATGTGGTTTTATTTACTTGTTACCAAAGATAGTTTATTGGGCAAAGTTTGAGGGAAACTTTTTCCGATACGAAATGCCCTGGATCGCTCTTACAGAGATCGCCTCTTAATTGTGAGATGAGCTCTGACGGACCCCAAAATTAGTGCAACTTAAGACTTCGCTGCCATTGTCATGTAATTTCTTTGATCAACAGTGTTGAATAACTCTCTAGCTGTGTTCAAAATAATTGTTAAAAAATAGTAAATTGTATGAAAGAATAGGTACAGATGTCCTCAATAAAAGACAATGCTAGGTTTTTCTATCTAGTTTATCTGTTGTGTGTGTCGTGAACAGAAAACTTTCCTTCCTAGGACAAGTCTCATTAGAACAATCAGACTAATAGGCCTTAAAGATTCTTTAAAAAAGAAAAACTTAATATTGACTTCAAAAGTCCCCAACATTATAAATGTATTATTATTCAAAAAATAATTCTTGTGCTGCGCATATGGATCTTCAGCTGGTTTAATTAAATGGGACAATTTTTATGGTCTTGCTATTGAATTTAAGCTGTTCGACGCATTGAAAGCATGAAATAATAACAACTCGCCACGATAGGTAAATAGCACAAATAATTAATTAGTTTAATTTCTTCTCCGCATGGCGTTTAGCGGATTAATTTGACTCGGATAACGCATAAAAAGGATATAAATTCCCGTGTGAATTAGAATAACTTGCAGCGAAAATGAGTATCATTTTTTTAAGTGCAATTTTAGTCGTCTAGTTACAGCAGTTCTGAGAACTCATTTTACTCTTCTGCGCACTTTTGTTATATCTTCTCTCCACGGTATCTCTTGACAACTAAGCGTAAACAAAACAATCAAGTTTGCAACAAAAGAGTTTTTCTCTATATAGTAGTTGAAACTATTCGATTTTTTGGGTGATAGTCTCACTAAAACAGCGCATGCCTCTAAACTTATTTCATGTGTATAGGTTAGGTTTAATGTACCTTACCAGTATTAGGCGCTTTTCTGTCATCAAATGGAGGAGCCCCAGAGTGTTGATGAAGTAGGCTTATCTGTTCGGACTTTGCTTTCTTGGTTTCCGTGCCCCCTCTTATGTAATAGTTCCATTCGTTTGACTTGTTACTTTCTCTGCACCTATGTGGCCCATTATCCGAAGGTCTGACCCAGATAACGAGAACTTTTTTTCCATCGACGACCACAGGTTGCAGTATGGGATTAATTTCAGGTTTGATGTTCTCTCGACAAGCTCCAGATATCTCCTTCTGTATTTTATCGAGATTTCCTGTGACACCGAGCGGTGGTGAAATGACCTGAAGGCTATCAGGAGATTCACAGTCTTCTTTCTCTTCCACACCGATAATGATATATCCTCCGTTTACATGATAAAGGTCGTTGGCAAAGGCGGTGATAGTATGAATAACTTGCCAATAAGTGCTTCTTGGAGTGTCCTTCCGATTATGCCAAGCTTTCTTGAACTCCACTCTTTGCGACTCTACTCCTTGCAACTTAATAAGTTCCTCTACGTTTATTAAAAGACTTGACGGGTATGATTTTGCGGAAGCCATTCTCATTTAACCATTTCTGCCTCTCAGACTTGTGATAATTGGTAATCAAGCTGAATGCTGTCGGTATTAGTTTCTTGACACGTAATGTGTAGGAAACGGAATATTTTAGCGTCCCCAGCGGTGTGATACTGTTGCTAGGTTGATATGGTGGCATGCCGCTGATTTTTTCAAAGAAGAGACGTCATCAAACCTTTACCTTGTTTCTGAAAATAATCTTTTCATTTAACAACCCTTTTCACGACAATAATATGCAAAAGTTACGGCTATTCCTAAATAGATGAATACCATGAGCCACCAAGTTCACATCTTGTCGAGATCTCTGGGCCCCGATAGATATAAAGATTATTTTCATAAGCAAAAGTATCGCACTGCGGAGGACGCCAAAATATTCCGTTACCCACACATCACTCGACAAAAAACTAATACCAACAGCATCCAGCTTAGTTATCAATTATGACAAGCCTGAAAGGCTAATCAATTTTTTGTGCTATTTAGCTATCGTGGAGAGTTGTTATTATTTCATGTTTTCAATGCATCGAACAGCTTAAATTCAATAGCAAGAGAATAAAATTGTCCCATTTAAGATGGCACGAAACAGTTTTTTTTTGCCTATTTAATGTATTTAGGACCAAAACAACTTAAGTTAGGCACCGTGAATCATCATCAAATTTTACCCTGAAATAAAGTTAATAACGCTCCATCAATTCACCTTTTGGACTTTAGATTTCACGTGTAGTATCACGTGACTTTTGATGTAAACAAACCCCGAAAGTTCGGACATTGAGTCGAGCTCGCAGTACATGTGTCCAAACTTCGGCTTTGGATATTTTTCTTTAGGACACATGTGCTGCGAGCTCGACTCAATGTCCGAACTTTCGGGGTTTGTTTACATCAAAAGTCACGTGATACTACACGTGAAATCTAAAGCCCAAAAGGTGAATTGTATTAAACCGGTGCCACCGATCTATGATGTGGTGTCAGTTTCCATAACCTCTGATCCTCTTTCGAGGTAACGCAAATTTTCTCGCCGAATTAATGTTTACGCTTTTGAAGTAACACTAGCATTGCCGAACCTGAAAGATCTTTTTCGCACATAACAGGATAAGAAACTTCAGTGACTCTTGAGCCTAAATAATTATACCATATAATGCCAAAGTTTTGAGTTCGAATGCTGTGCAGAGACCTCATAACCAAATGACTGAAAAGGTACATACCTGATATATACAAACATCTCAAACTGAGAGCTAACCCTTCAAACGAGACACAGCATTTCTCCTATTAAAGTGTTAATTTCAGTCTTGAAAAGAAGCTGAAGAGCAAGGGCGCGAGGGGCTTAGTATACCATACGGAAGAGAATACCCAGAGTGTTAAATTAAAAAAAAAAAATAGAGAGAAAAACGTGATCCATGAAGATTTCTGAGTTTCGATATGAACAGCTAGTAATAAAAACAAAGAATATTAAGGCGATAAATTTCAAATAAAGAAGCACGAAACAAGAAAACAAAAGGAATTCAAATGTCTATCAAAGTTAATAGTAACACGGATTACATATCGGCAATTGCTAAACCACAGGATTCCGAACTCATAAAGCAGTCACTACAGATGCACAAGGATACAGACCCTTCCTAATGAAATAGGTCTCAAAGAAAGCTAGTATCACGTGGTAAAAGGTTCAACTGAATTTCTCGTTGAGGATTTTCGGACAGTTGTTTTTCTTTTTGTATCAAATAACAGCATTGCGTTACTTGAGTGCATTTTGAATCTAATTATCACATCTCTTGAAGTTTCTCGGAAAAACCTTTCTTCCGGTGCGTTCGAGTATAGCTAGAAACTGAAAGGAAAGGAAGTAAACAAGATTTATTTTGATCAATTAAGGTTCTTTCAAAGTATTTTTTTAACTTCTTATGAAAAAAAATCATTTTTCTTGTTGTTTCAAAATGGTCAACAACCCGATCGATGCCGAAAGAGAACCACAAGATCAGGAAGGAAAACGTCTGCCTCTTCTTCCATGAATGAACATATTTGGGCTTCCGGTCACATAGACATCCGCAAGATGTCAATGGATGCTATCGATTTCTGTTGAAAATTGTCAAAATCACCTTCTGTACACTTGGATTATGGACTCACCAGGTTTTGAACTACATTCTACGAGTACTAGTCTATCTAATCTGTATTTATCAAGCTGTTTACGATTTCTATGTCGTGTTAAGTTGCCACGGTTTTGGTTGCAGTTTCTCACAAAATTCAGCGGATTTAAGAAGCCCCTTCATCACAAGGATGATAATCGTGTTGCAAATGCTGTTTATTTTTATAGTTTCATCCGCAGTTTCATCGTAACAAAGGACAAAAACTTAGTTATGGTCGCACCGTCTTGATCCGCATCGATGGAAGACCTTAGCAGAACGGCCGGCTGATGGTTGTGTCTTATTTTCGCTTTAATGACAATGTTGTATCTTAGCTCGATGGCTGTGTTTCACACCATCGTATGGATAAGTAAGCCAAAGGTTTCCTATTTCACCACTCTTGCCACCGGAGTAGAAGCCCAGTTTTTCGCGCAGTGCACAGCAATAACAACTTGTCACGAGTTCGTCATGAGTTCCTTTGCGTTAGGTAAGTTGCATACTTCAAATGCTGATAACAAAATGATCATTGTGTTTTCATTTATCCTTTGTTCTCAGCGTTCAAAACCCTTTTTTGATGATTTAGGTGATTAACCTTTCCTGTTGTCTTCCATCCTTTCTCTGCGAATTATCTATGTTACCAAAGTCATTATGGCCGTAGTTATGACCATCACAAGTTTTATAAGCATTGAAATACCGTGACAATCAAAAGCACTGATGTAACGAAAGGGCAATATAACGGGATTTATAACAATTTTTTGACATTTTCAATGCACTAGAGTTTTGCTAAAATGTATGATCGATAGTTAGATCAGTTTGATCTTGTTTGAGTGGTGCACTTCTTCAAGCCATTGGATCATCTTTAAGTATCTACAAGGCATACATTTCACAGGCATTCTTAGAATAATCTGGAATCTGAAGACAACTTATTTGGGACAGGCAATCTCTAAACAAATTTGGCAAATCCTAAAATTGGCAACGTCTTGTTTAAATACCTGACGAACAATGCAAAAAAATAGCGGGTAATCAATCTTATAATTTCTCTATTTAACCTTCACCTTTTTCTGTCAGTAAGGGTGTCTGTTTTTTCTATTTTGTTTCATTCTACCTTTTTCATTGTTATAAAATATCATTATAAAAATTATATTATATTATTATAATTATTATTATTATTACAGATTTTCTGGTATGAACGTATTTTTGTTACATTTTTCACTTTAGATACTTTTACATAAGTATTATCTTAGACTGAGTTGCACTCAGTCTTGTAGCATAGAAAGTGTTTTCATGAGCACTGAAGAAAACTTTCTTCACTGCACTATGAGGGAAATAAAAATTTTCAAAAAGTCACGGAAGTTGCAATTACTCAACCTCCCTTAGTAAGAGCAAGGAAGAAACTGCTTTAAGTTTTAAAATGTGTAAATCATTCTTTCAAAGACCATAAAATGGAATGGGTATGTAAATTAATTCAAATGGTTCATCATTTCCGACTATTTTTGTGCAAAATTATCCCTGAAATTTCCTGGACTTCAATATTTTCTTTCCTAGAGTGATCCTGATTTTTTTTAGTCTATAATCATTTATTTATGATCCTTAGAACATCTCTATTATGTGTCCTGCTTACAAAGGCTTCATGGTCAAGTTTTGGACACAGCTCTTATGGAAACGGGTGATGAGTCAGAGACAGACATTCCATTTGACAACATTATTGTCTTGTAAGTTCTCTTCAATTACAATCCCTCCTCTTTGATTCTGACTAGCAGATTTTACCACAGTTTTCAGATATTTATCTTCACCCTGTCTTCAAAATTAGGCTGTCTGACTACTTGCCAGAGTTTGAACAAATGAATTGTTTGTCACAGTTAATAGATTAAGACTCAGCATACTGAGTGAGCCATGACTCACATGTACATTGCACTCAACTTGTCAACTTTTACCTCTTCACTTACTCAAACCAAAGTCTCACAATTTAGGAAGACAAGAATCTTTGTATTCTCATGGAGGAATATTTTCATTACATGCAGTCATCTTGATGCATTACAATATCTCTATTTTACTTCTTAAAGTTGAATGTTGTACAGTAAAATTTGATCACCCTCCACTTTATTTAGTGTTTAATTCACCATTTTCAAGTGGTGGCCTACCTGTTCCTTGAGTTATGTGTAATGATGGTATCAGTGTCTGATTTATAAATTTTTTATCTAATCTTAGTGAAAATGTGAGCTATGACCTCAAGCTGGGTATAGAAATAAGCAAACAGAGCTTCAGGAGTGAAAAGGCCATTACGAGGAACTTTAGCGGGCCACGAAGTTCTCAAATTTATACTTGCGGAACATACACAATTGACAGTGGATCACCTTCATCAGAGGATCAAATCACATGACCTCAAAACAGGTACAGTGTATATTTAGTATGGTTAGCAATATTGTCGGGCTATCATTTTGTTTTGTAAGAAACTTTGGCAGTAGTAGTGGCTTTGTAACACATCTCTGGCCTGGACGGCACCTCCGTAAATCAATGAAAATTGGGCTGTGGGTAATTCCCAAAAAGAGTTTTCCAAATCGTGTCATCCTTTTGTTCGGTGAATTTCCTGGATTCTCTCTGAGTATGTGTATTGCAGGTAATATAGCTGTGATGGGCGATTCGGTGATTTGGTTCATGCTGTAATGTTACCAGAGTAGAGTTACGCGTGGCAGTTTTGGCCTTTTACTTTCTCAAAAAAATATCAGCTCTTGTTTCAATGATTAATTCCAGACTGAAGTTCTATTTCGCTTTAAGGTTTGGTTGGAGCAAGCCCTGTAGTATCCACTGTATCTGCTGAGGATTCAAACATGCCAAGACTGGCTTTATGGGGCCAGATTTGTCGCCGTCTAGCTGCCAGACCTGCTTGTATTGAACAAGTCCATACGGATGGTTTTCTTGAACTACGGTTACGGTCGAGTAATTAGAGCCTGGTACTTTAGTACTCAGTCAAATATAAAAAGCTGCTGCTGCTGTAATTAGGGTTTTAAAAGAACCAAAGAAATTAATCCAATCTACACGTATATCTTCATGAATGAAAGTAATTCTTCTCGATGATTGGTGCAAATACGTTGAAAGTGTAAAAGCCTCACCATAAGTTTAGTTGAATTATCCCTGCTAGTACATTTAAAGAAGTTTTGCTCATGGCAGGTTCTGTCTTGATAAACACTACATTTCCATGTTGACTATTTTCAGAGAATGACTTGCAGTCAGTTTTCATGGTGTCGGCTCTGGTGTGTTTTGAGACATGCGACAATCAAGTGCTGTCATCAACTGTTGGTAAGTTTTCACTCAGTAGAATATTCCCTTTAGACGGAAATTTAATTCTTTTGGTTCTATTTAATAGCTTCCCGGTACACGTGTAACTGTGATCAATCAATGATTATGGAATATTTAGGAAATTTATTTAGGAAAATGTCAACGGGACAAAACATTCGATCAAGGTTTCAGTCGAAACGCATCCTGCGCCCGATACATTCAAATTTGTACGAGGTCCCTTGGTTTGGTCAATGTACACAGCTTGTCGGCTGAGATTAATCCAAATTGTTGCTAAATCTTTTCTTAACTTGGACTCGACAGTTTGAAAACATGGACAGCCATTTTCCATGTATTAGTAATCTTTTTGATGAGTGGAACTCTAATCTTTCGCTTAGTATACGTGGTGCTCGTTAGCCTTTGTAATAATTTTTTTCGGTATACGATTTTATGCTCTAATCGCGACCAGACAGTCATAGAAAATTTGTTTTGCACTGTAATAGACTGCGTGTGTCATCAATGTTTTCCTCAACAGAACCTTGGAAGGCAGTTGACAAACCAGTCCCTCTAGAGGAACTGAAATCAGTACCAGCGGATTCAGAAAGCATCGAATGTGCGTATGCCATCTGGCAAAGAAGAGACCCTGAAAATGGAAGCTTCAGGAAGGGAAAGAAAAAAGAGGTGTGGACGAGAATGTGTTGAACCACGAAACCACAATTTGAATTTGAAGACCTCTTTGCTTGACGTAAAAATACTTAATTGTGTTGTGGATCAAGAGAACGTGCGGCTCTAACCCACCTGTTTTACTTTCTTTATTTTCATTAGCTGAGAATAATTGCAGCATTTAGGAATGAAATTTTACAAATATAGCAGTTTGGAAGATACATGATTGAGCTCCTGAGTAGAGCCTTTTGTTCTTTCAGTTAACGATGTATGTTGTTTTTCAACAAAGAAATAAACAATATTGTGTTCTGGTTATTTGTATGAAAGTAGCTGAGTTTAAGAGATATAATTGTTTTTTTGGATTTGAAAATACATGTAAACATAATTATTAATTGGCTGAATGTTTCTCTACTGCACATCAACTGACTTGATGGCGGAGTTTGGCCGCTCGTTGTGTGGGAAATGATGGCAGCTTTACTAGTACCAATTAAAGAACGTTAAGTTACGAGACGAATTAAGCAATAATCTTTTAATTTTTGTGAGCCATCAGATATCAAAAACTTTTGTCACAAAGTTTTGAAAGATTGTTAGCCCGAGGTGGAATTCTGTGCTTCTTTTTAAACTTATTTTCAAGTTTGCCTCTTACAGAAGGATGGTGAGAGAAAGTAACGTCATTTATTGTTGACCAAAATCAGATTTTTAAAACTCTTACTTATATGAAGTCACTCTCGCTCTCGATCCAACTCCCTCAAAAGACCTCGACTAGAACACGATCTAGTAATAGCGGACATTTAAAAACGACAAATCGTTAGTAATAACTCGGCCTACAGCTTCTCTGAGATCCATTGGTTTTTTTGCCAAAAATGAGATCGGACGAACGAGAACGGTCAAAAGAATAACACTGATAAAAAATAATGCCTTTATCGTGCTTATATTGACAAAGTTTTAAAACGTTAATCGTGGGACAAACGATTTAAATATTTTGTCTTACCAGTAACTCTAAATGTTTGTATCAACCTAGACATCGACTATTTGAACTGAGGAACGATTAAACGAGAATTACAATTTTGTGTCAGAAAGTCACACATGTTATACATATATGTTACGTTATTCGCTGGCCGGGAGGTCCGTATTGGAAAAAGTATACCCGAGGTCTTGAGTACCGCCTGAAGCCGTGGGCCGAGGGTGGTACTCAAAACAGAGGGCACAATTTTACCCAGTACGAACCGCCCCAGGCTGGTGAATAAAATTTTAATTTTTTCTTTAAACTCGACGAAATTCTTTCCAAAAGAACCTGAATGATTTAGGGCTGTAATTATGGTAGGATCTTCCATAAACGGAAATTTTTGAGCGAATAAATAGTAGTTAAAATAGAGGTGATGCAAATTAAAGAGAGATGCCTCACCGAAACATTTTCATTTGTGTAACGATAAAGGTGATTTAAAAGGCTTCCAAACTAACTTTGAAACATTATTTTTTTGCAAGTATCTGTCACAACCTGACACCTGTCAATTAGAGAGCGCTTAAGAAACAAAAAAGGGCAAGTACACTTTTGAAAAAACAACGGAGCTAGTTTGGCAAGGACTGTCACGACAATGTTTTCTTCAAAAACAGTCAATGATCTTACGGAAAGTATTCTTTACTCTCATCGACGATTAGTTAATGTACAAAGATTTACCTCTGTTCAGTAGTTAAAAGGCAAGGAAAGTAATTGTAAGTAAATTCAAATTATTTATTTTGAAGTTGTGAGGGTTTGCACGTTTGTTTACTGGAATGGCTTGTCTAAAAGCTGGTTTTTCCTCCACAAAACTAAATTCCAATGAGCCACTTCAACTAGACGCAAGGGAATTTAAGGCGGCTTTTTCTCATTGAATTCCGTCAGTTTCTTTTTCTTCTGTTAAACGGTTCAAACGTCCAAACTGAACGGACTTGAGGAAACTCACCGAAAGCGCCTTTGTGGTAGAACTGAAAACTTCGCTCGCCCTTTCAGTACGAACAAATTATTTTAGAGAATTCAGATATTAAATGGATGAAAGTTCCGTCAATTAATTGAATTGTAACCACATACCTCGCGTTTTAACTTCCTAGGTTATTTTTGTGAAGGATTAAAATTAATTACAGACGGTGTTTAGGCCGCTTGTCAACCAATTTAATGATTCTCTTGCTTGTATACAAATTCATTTCGAAACCAATAATTTTCTGTCAACCAGAATGATCTGAGAGAGAAAAAAAGAGAGGATTAATAAGTCATTTATCGGCTTGAGGTGGTGACCGACGTCTTTGCTTAAATATACTGCCCAGTAATAATAAATAATACAAGAAAAGCTCAGAAGCTCAGAAACTCAGAAGATCTAAATTTAGAATATCTCAATTTCGATTGCTCACGGGGAATAACCAACGACTAAATTCAACAATAACTTTTAAGGCAGATATTGAATGCGGCTTAAGGCTCCAAAAACTGATTATGCTATCAAAAGACCAGTCTCTGTAAATGAGAAGCAAAAGTGCCTGTCATGCCAACCTGGGGTTAAAAACGTTGGACCTCTTCCGTAGCCGTAGAAATCCACTTTATTACCAAACGGATGACATCAGTTCTCATCAGTAATTCAGTTGAGGCGGTTTTGGTTTCCAGCTGATAGAGCTCGCATACTTGAAACTGAAAGAAAAAACAGGCCATTCCCCTTCTAAGATACAGGGCATTTTTGTCTTTCGCTGGGGAAGTCAAGTCAATAACATATTCCGTTTTCAAGCTCTCTGCATACATTGTCTGAAATTAACAGTTTTGCTCGAGCCTCTCCTTAAGTGGTCTCTTCTCGTGCATTTTAGAAAGGTTAGAAAGTAAAAATTTTTTTGCAAGGAATTACTCGGCCGTATTTATAGAGGATTTTTTTCTTTAGAGATCCAAGAAAGTGAAAGTTATCTCTAAAGGTGACTGAAGTTAATTTTAGAACAGATTGAACTCCCCAGTACAGTTTTGGTTTAAGTCTCTTTGTAGGCGAACTAGCACCATGCTTTTGAGACAGAAAAAGAAATCTTTGAGATGAAAAACTGTTAACTCTTGGAGCCTTTGCCGGGAGTTACTTAACAGTATTCTATAGGGGAGGCTTTTTAAAAGTGAAAGTTGCCTTCTAAGGAAAAAAATCAGTAATTTTGGAATAAATCTAACGTAATATCAATATAAATCCCCTATCAGGAGTATTTATATGGTGCGCCTTAATCAACCTCAACGCTTAGTTAGTTGTTGACCGTCAGTAAGTAAGCTGATCATGGCAATTCCAGAGACAACTTGGATCCATCTCCTTGATGAAAGAGCACCACATTTAATCGAGGAAGTCGCACCAACTAAGCTGCTACCCTATTTGAATTTACCAAAATGGGATAAAGAGAACATCGTTTGCGACGAATGAAACCTGGGACCCGCTTACGCGACATCGACTCTTCTAGACAAATTGAAGAGGCGGAATGGACCAAAGGGCTGGAAGACATTTGACGCGCTCGTCAGAGCTCTTAGAAATATCGGAAATCAACAATCGGCACTGCTGCTTGACCCACACTTTAAAGGTAATAAATATACCATATGGAAATTAAAAGGCTATCATCTTAGAAGTGCAAAGTTGTCTATCAAATCACCTTTAAATGACGCCGGCTTAAGATATTCCAACTAAATTTGCAATATGCAAATCATCCTTCCAGTTCCTTCAGTTCCTTCTGCTTCAGAGGAAATCGAAGATGAAAACTGCTCTCGACTCGGAATTCTGGGTGCAGCAGCAGGTATGTAAGAGATTTAATTAGGTTCACCTCTGATAAAAGTTACAAACCAATTTACCGGTGAACCCCTTTATTGGTATAAAACTTCAAGTAAGTCGCTCTGTGGTTAACTCGCACAAAGAGAACACACCGTTGTACTAAGCTTTCATAGAAGACATGGTAATCTGTTTTAAAATACTCAGAAGAGGATTTTTTTTTCCTTTTTTAACAATACAGAAATTGGCGTCAGAATACGTCTAGTGGACGAAGAAACAAAAAGTTATTGCGAGAAACTGGAGAACGAAATCTGGAGAAAGTTTCAAGACACCAGATCGGAAAGCACCGTCCCTCGAACTGCGTAATAAGTTGCATGAGGTAGGAAGTTCATAATTGTAAAACAAGATTTGAAAAGTTGACAAGGTACATGAAAGTTGTTAAGGAGTTTGATATCTTCGAAGCACTGATCGCCACTGAATCTGTCACATTATTCTTATTAAATTAGGCGCCCTTAGAAATTTTCCTCGAGTTCAACAAGTTTCTGAAATAATTTTTAAGCAAACTGTGCATAATATGTTTATTGCTAAGGGGTTACTTTGCACTCGTGAGTTATTTTCAAATAAAGACTGGCGAATTCACTCGGACCACACTTAGTGTAATGCGTGGAGGCCCTATAGTGACCTTTAGCAGTCCTGGCGGCAACGCCGTGGAAGACGTCGATAAAAAGATATTTATATTTTTGGTTTGAATTCCGGGAATAGTTTGATGTTTTTACCGTCTCTCACAGCGCCATACCTCAACTTCAGCACAACATATGTTAGAAGCGTTTAGTTCTGAGCGCAAATTCAAACAATCTACCGTCCAGGTTTCCGCTCCCGGTCCACGCCCGTGCTGATCTACTGTTCTACTTATTAGAACTTCAGCTTCTTGTAATTTCCTTTGCTAAATCGAAACGGAGATATCGATTGGAGACGTGATTTGAGATTTACCGTTTAATTGCTTTTTGGGGAAATGGGCACAGAATCGACTGTTAAACATGTTCGAAACCGTTACACGTTGTTGTAGAGCATAAAAATATCAATCCACAACTTTGGTTTCTAACCCGAACGACCCTAATTTTTTGAGTGAACGTAAACTGATTTGTACGTAAAACGCGGAAAGTGCTAGTGCTTTAACGTGAATCAAAGTGAAAATCAGCACTGGGTTCTATGAGGAATTCTTCCTTCCTTTACGAGTCTTCCCTGGCAAGCCCAGGCTTGTTTCCTCACCAAGGGTTCCTTTCATTCAACAAAAATCATCGCCGGTTTCAACTTCTCGGACTATCCGACAAATTGTTCAGGAACTTCTATCTCGGTTTATTTCCATTTTAGACCACAAATCATGAAACTTTTGGCTTAATATAAAGCCCCATACGTCATGATATAACCACGAAACTCCATTTTGACGTTATACAAAATCGCCGAATCGACATCCATTGATTTAA